GGGGAGTAACTTGGACGGGGGGGGTCCCCACAAAAAAGCCGGGGAGCAAATTGCGTGGGGTAGGGGGGCGCTCCCCGCGTTCCCCGCCGAGGTCCCCGACGGCGACCCCGTTCCCCGACGAACACTACTCTGAACTTTTAATTTTTTCAAAATTCAAATGACGCATTTCTTTCATAAAAAATCGAAATTTCCGAAATGGCAGAATTCACCTGACGTTAATACTGCGAGAAAATGGACTTGAAGCACTGCAAATAAGTGTTTGAGAATCAAGAATTCCATCTTCACATGCAAGTGTACTGTTATTAGCTTAGACCCGAGAAGACAAGATGCCTTAGCGTAGAAAATGCAGTATGCCCTTACGACATGATCATTAGCAACATGTTATGAAATATTAATTTGAATTTGAATAATTTGGTTCCTCGAATTTGTTCAATAATTTGTTGAATGAACTCCTTTCTGATTGATAATGAACACATTGGTTCGGAAAAATGTGTTTGAACATGTCCCGCATCAATATTACCAAAACTGTTCGATCCCGGGATTATCCCGGAATCAAAAATCGATCCCGTGAATGAAAGAACGTCGGGATTCTGCAAACCCTACCTTGTCCCTACTAAGCAACGTACCTAGCCTAAATTCACCCATCCTGGTATATATCTCTTCCTCTTGGTCTTTCCTTGATCAATTCGGTGATAAAGGCTACATTACTGCCGTTAAAACCGTTGGAAGAAAATACACACGTTTCGTCTTGAAGGGGCAATATGGGAATGTGTCCGAATACCGGGAGAGATTATCAATATTAAGATCAGAAACTCTAGATCTGCGAAGATTTTATATTGGTCTGCGAACGGAATACAGTATAATTCAACGTCAGGCTGATCTCCCAATAGATGAATTTTCCGGACATCTTCAATCAGTGAATAAGTGCGCCAGAATAATTCTCTTAAACTCGCTGGTAAAGTGTGGTGGATCGAGTTGCGCAGTAGTATTAGAATATAATTTATTGAATATTATTGGATAATCAGATACAATTGAGATACCACGGAGGTTGCCAGTTATTGGCTCTTTGAATGAGGAGACGGTCGACGAAAGTTTTAATATAGATTTTCAATAACGATTCAGTAGACTAAGGATAATGCCAATTAGGGGCTATTACACACAGATTTTCTACGAATATTCTTAATTAATTAACGACAAAGTTAGTCACACTTATTTCTTCAACAACCCCAAGGATGAGGCCAAGTACTGGCTCTTTGAGTAAGTAACACCAATATTATTATTTCAACAACACAAATATTACTATTTCAGTTGATGTGTTGGTAAAGTGTGGTGGATCGAGTTGCGCAGTAGTATTAGAATATAGTTTCAACAACACAAATATTACTATTTCAGTTGATGTGTGGGTAATATGCGGTGGATCGAGTTGCGCAGTAGTATAAGAATATAGTTTATTGAATATTATCAATTAGTCAGTTACAATTGAGATACCACGGAAGTTGCCACTTATTGGCCCTTCGAATGAGGAGACGATGGACGAGAGTTTCAATATAGATTTTCAATAACGATTCAGTTGACCAAGGAGAATGCCGGTCTTCTTGTTGCTTTTTAAGCTCCTCCATCGCTTCATCTTTCTCATGCCCCTGCAAGATGGTATTCGTAGATAAGGTCATCTGCTGATGCTTTTAGCTTTCAGATAATGCCTTTGTTTTGACTGTAGGTATGCATTTTTGCTTGGTATGTATCTTCTCATAAACATGCAACAAAGAGAATGCAACAAATATGCACAAAGATGTTGCCTTTCTCATGCATTTATCTTTTGATCTGATCTTTTCATTGCATATTTTGGGAATTCGAAAAGAATTCGAAAAGTGCAATGTTTACACTTCCCTTTTTGCAAAGACCGACTCTGGTCTTTAGTTGATTGATTAATTAATTAATTAATTTTTAAAAATTTTGACTGCTTTGAACTTTTACCATATGATATGGCCAGTATATAGCCTGTACCTCCCTTCCTTGGCACAAGACCGGCTCTGGTCTGTGAAAGATATGAATTAGTGAGGGTGCCTTACCTCGAGGCGGTTCACTTGTCCGAGGTCATGTCAGCATCCTCGAGCCACTTGTCGGACAGCTCCGATGTGACCGTCGACGTGATGACGTATCCGTCCGAGTCCAGGAGAAGTCCACTGGGTGCTCGAGCGAATTCGTCTGCCCTGAGAAGGTCGATGTAACGAAGGTCCACGATGGGACAGTCATTAACTACTTCGCTCAGATACGTTTTCCAAGAACGTGATCGGATTAAAGAGAGAATATCACCGATAATGATGAGGCCATCTCTGGCCCTGGAGAGCGCGACAGTGATGCGCTGCTCATCGAGGAAGAATCGCGTGGTATCCTCAGGAGCCTGATCAGAGATAATGCGGGTGGTGACCAGAATTACTATGGCAGCTTCTTTTCCTTGGAAGCCGTCAATTGTGTGGACAGAAATGTTCGATTCTGCCAGTATATCTCGCAGAGCATCCCGCGTGGCGGAGTAGAAACAGAGTACCATGATATCCTGGGGGGTACTGTCTCTAATAACTTAGTTGTAATAGCCTGTGCGGCTAATTCTTGGAACGCCTTATGGCGTGACCTGAGGAAGTTCATGTCGTCAGCGCCTTCAAGATGCAGAACCAAGACTGGTACATGCTGAATAGGAAGTGGTAATGTGGAGGTGACCAGTTTTGGTCGTTCGCCACTCTCAATCGCCGCAACGAGTGCGTTTTCATATGACATGCTCGAGAGACATCGGGTGAGAATCGGGTGTGAGCGGTAGCTCATGTCCAGCGAAATAATGGGAATAGTTTGCCTTCTCATTATCGTTTGAACCGCACCCATGAAGCCATATGGAACGAGATTGTCAAGGATGTTGGCCTTGTAGGCTGGCAGTTGCTTGGCATCTCAGGTCAGAAACAGTTGTTGAAGTTCAGGGAGGGAAGAAGCAAGGCCATACAACTGAGCATCGGGCACGAGACCGGCTTCATCTATAATGCAGTGTGTGATGAAGGGCCATAGTACGCGATGAAGATTTTCTGCCATCGCAATGGTCATAACAAAAATCTTGTACTGCCCAATGGATAGTACCAGTTTTAAGGCTCTATCTTCGCGATCGGGGCGGCCATCATGGCTCAGTCGACGGGCAATGTACCGTCGAGCGAAGTGGAGATCCGTGGGATTCGTAATGAGGTTTTGTTGAACGGCATCGTCAAGGATCTCCGGCAATCGATACTGATCTCTGGTGGCCGGGCCGTCCGCGTGTCGTTTCTCGGCCGTGAGCGACTGCATGAATAGGAGTGTATGTCGCGATAGGTCAGGCTGAATAGTCAAGATGGCGTCGGCTAAATTAGCAACTGCAGCATTAGTGGTTGCAGTGACGAGCATGGCACCAGATGTAGGTAATGTCTGCAAACGTTCTTTGACATAAGCAGCAATAAAAAACGTCTTACCGGTACCAGCCGGTGCTTGTTGAAATAAGATAGTGGTGTTGCCATTTAGGCATCGAAGAACACGTTGTTGAGATGTGTTCAACGTGGTGGTGATGAGGCTACTGTCGTCTTCTATCAATGCGACAGGATCACCCATCCCCAGTAAGGCCCTCACGATGATATCCTTGGGATTAGGATCGGAGGTAATGGCCGAATAGGAGAGGTCACGGGCTTGGAATTGGGCAATTCTGAACTCAAAACCTGCCCGGGCAACATCTGGGAGGATGTAGAGGGGCTGAGAGGATACTCTTAATCCACCATCTTTCTTCTGTACTAGCACTAAATTAGGAACCCAATTGGTTTTTGACTCCTTAATAACTCCAGTCTTTAATAACTTTTTATTGTGAGCTTGCAGCTCGTCCCGATATTTGGCGGGTATCCTGGTTGGCTTTGCAGATACTGGGTTTTCTGTTGTTGTAATAATATCATGTGGCACAGCCGAGCATTAACATAAGTCATATTTGTGTTTGCTGAAAATATCTTGATATCTGGCTACTAGCGAACGAAGTTGTTCACACTGAGGAGGGGTAACCTCACACTGTGTGAAATCAATCTTGAATGAGGGGTCGTCCGGCATAGGTTGGTCGTCTGAACATTCTGCCGGCGACGTCACTGATGCGATTTGTTGCATGGTACCTCCTGTTTCTATGATCTCCGATGCTGAAGTGATTCTAGTATTCTTATATAAGTTGATGGGATGATTACTTGGGTTGGAAATGAGTATCCGAACATCACCCGAGATGGGTCTGATAATACCAGGAGTTATCGCCAAGTCATATAACCGTGGATCAATGGTCTCGATCAGGAATCCATCCGTACGCTGGGATACATTTCCATCGATAATGCAGTTTACAAACATTTCAGTGTTGGGAGGTATCGTCGTATTACTACTCAGTCGGACAGAGCTATTGGTTAGTTTTACTATTCGCGGATCGCCTAATCGTAGGCGGGTTCCTCCTATTGTAAGTAATCCATTATTGATATCGATTGCGAAGGGTGGAAAGTGCCTCATAATGTCACAACCTATTATAACGTCATATGACGTCTTTCGAATATACGAGTTATCAGTGAAGTATAGATTACCTTGAGTTGTAATGTTGGCTATCGTGAAGTTTACTTTGGCAAAACCCTTGATATTCAATGTATGCCCCGAGACACCTATCGCATCGCTCACGTCAGGGGTCATTGATACGCCGAGAGTATCAATCCAATCAGAGGAGGTTAGCGTCAATGCTGATCCTGTATCTATCAGGAAGCTGCAGTATATTTGATTCAATTTCCTGCAAATTTGCGCACTGAACGTATTACCTAAAGTAGCTACGTCTGATATGGAGTTAGGGATAGATATGCGCGGTGGCCAAAAGTTTTGTTTTGAGCGCTTGTCTTGCGGAGTAGATGATCTTAATTCTGTCGCTGCACCAGCAGTTTGTATGACAATGTCAATGTTGGTTCCAGCGGAGTCATTCTGCTCACGTTGCTCGCGACGCAAAACTTGCCAAGTTTTGAGAAGGTTAGGAACTATCAATCGCACAAACGCTTTACTGATTAACTTAATTGTAATTATGAAGGAGACTGTAGATATCCAGACGTTCCATAGTAATTCAAACATTGTGAATACTCTGAGTTGTTCAAATATTGATCCTTGAGCGGCAGAAGGTTCCTCACCATGCATTGTTATTCGCGACATGTGCTCGTTAATCGTTTGTTGGATACTCATATAGTGCGCGGCCGCAGCCAGATGAACAGATGGGAAGCTTTCGGTTAAGTTGCTAATTAACATATGATGGAAGATAGTAGTTGGAATATTGGGTAAGGCTTGAAGAGATTGTAAAAGTGAGAAGGCGCTATTACTAATTGATGAAATCTGTGATTTAGGTATCATAGTTGTGGTGCCAATCAATTGGTCCACTTGGTAAAGATTACCTAGTATTTGAACTGGAACGTAGCGTGAAAGGCTACACGAAATTGTTTTAGAGAATTGAGATACGATCATTGTAGTTGGGTCTAAGAATCCTTGAATGGAGTGATAAGATACTCTCACCTCGATGGGCGGAAATTCGTAACACGTGTCATTATCAATGGCAGATTTAGAAATGAAAGAGAAATTCGTCACTGGAAGGCAAGGCCGGACTTCTAAAATCGTGGATGCAAGTCTTGCATGAATGTGCGTTTCATTAAGAATAGCGCGGGCTGCTAATGTAGAGTTTTGGGCAAGTAGTACTCGCAATTGTCTAGCCATGTTATTCATCATTTCGCACATATGCATTACGTGTTGTCGGAGAGATATCCTCATAGACTGAGTTACGGTTAACTCAAGGGCTTGGAGTTGAGATGCTAGTTGATTAGTCGTGACCGATCCACTGAGAGTGAACGGAGAAATTGATCTCTTCATTCGATCGTTACGTACAAGGAATTCAGTCCAAGGGATAGCGTATGCCTGATCACTTATTAATAAATCGATACCACAATCATGAATGACGTTCTTTTGATTAGTGAAAGACAGAGCAAATTCTTTAGACTGGGCGATCCAAACGTTGTCAATCTTATGTCCAGCCCAAGTATTGACCTTGATGAATTGGCATTGTTGTTGTTTAAGAGGAGTCCATATAAGGAGTGAATTATCATTCAGAGCACAGTAACCTTCCTCATATTTACAACCATTCATATCTCCAACTGGAGTAAAGAGTTCTTCGTCGTGAAACTTTGATGATGCTATTGTTCCAATAAGAAAGCAATTAGTTGCCTCTATCTTTCTCTCACTGAAACTCCCTATCAACGGGTATGGAAATTGGAGGTGGACATCATTGTCCGTCTGTAGTATTTCTCCTTTAAGAATCAATTCACCATAGCTGCACCGTTTGTGTCTGATCATCATATCACACTCTGATGATGAAACAGGCAAATGCGTTACTTCTGTTCTAGTGAATTTATCGTTGAATAAATTAGTGTAATAATAGATCGTTTGCTTGATTATACGACAAAGAGATGCATTGGTATGATATCTTAGGGTATTAGGGCGGTATATTGTGAAAAAGACATCGTTTATCTGAGAGTGATCTGAATAGTTAACCTGAGGACATGGCATGGGGTCAGGTATCTGCCAGAACATTCTGGACTTATCAATCTGACATAGCAACGGCACTTGTGGTTCCTTCATAGGATAATTTATAACGGCCTCGATAGAGATTGGATGAGACTGAAAGAAAGTTAGTAGAAGAATGATGCAGAGATATCGCACGATATGTCTGAAAGAGAGAGGATTGTGCATAATTGAGCGTGGTGAAGCGGTAGGTAGAGAAGCAGACAGTTTAGATTGTTCTCGTGGTTTAGGTAGAGTCAGATGAGTTAGCGTTGGAGAAGTCAATGTTGAGACAGGATAGCGCGTATCTGCAATGTCACGACTCACATCAGGATATGCCAGCTTAGCTAACCTCTGATTCTGATCCAGCAATTTGGTAACTTTATTCTCCGAAACGCGCAATTGCTCCTGCAGCTGTGAGATCACATTATCATTTAGTGAGTTAACGACATCATTCGTAGAAGACATTCCACTAACGTAGTTGACATCTCGTGACCACCTAGTGTCAGACTGACCTCGACCTACATTGCGGGTATGATCAATACGAGTAGATGTCTTAGTGTAGGCTTGTTGATGAACTGGAGGCCTAGCAGGAGATAAGTCAGCCGGGGGAATTCTCCGGTAACAATTATATGCTAAGTGTCCAACTTTCCTACAATAGGTGCAATATGGCCTAGTGTCATAATTTCTTTCGTATCTTTGTAGCTGTCTTCTAATCCTGGCGTCATAATATGAGCGGGTTGGGTTACTTGCCCTTTTGTCATATTCCTTCGGATATCGATCCGGTCCATGAATACTACTCCTATCTGGGCCGTAGTACTTGTTCGAGTAAAAGTTCTCACGCCTGAAGCGATCACGATTATCATAATGGTCCCTTCCTAATGCTCGCGATGGTCGATCATCAAGCTCTGGTGTTGCTGGCCTAGGGTTATCAGCCGAACTGTTGCGTCGTTCATCATATCGAGGCTTAGCAAGGGTCATCATTTCCTTTAAGGACTCGGTTATCTCACTCAATTGCCGTATGGATGAAGACAGACCAGGGCTCATTTCAGCCATCATGATAGGATTTCCAGTTGAAGGGTTAATAGTGGCTGCAGCAGATCTAGCATGTAACAAGTTTTCGATATGTAGGGCCTTCATATGGGCTTCCTCAAAGGAAGTAGGCTCGGATGCTTTGACATGAAAAGAAATATCAGGAAGTAGTCTATCCAGGAAGTGGTCCATAAGACTGTCCTTAAATGTTTGCTCGCTTAAGCCAACGGTGGCAGCCCTAACCGCTTGCCGTAATCGTTCTGTAAACGCATTAACGCTCTCACCTTGCTGTTGTTTACACATTAATAGATTTTGCCGAGCAATGTTGCGCATTTTTGGTGACTCAAAGAGATCTCTCAGCTTCTGAATAACAAGATTGAAATCATTTTTGGTTGCGACGTCAAAGGTCTCATATTCCTCACGAGGTGAGCCATCCAAAAAGAATTTGATCTTTTGCGCTTTCTGAGTTATTGTCCATGGCACAGTCTGTGCCTCAGCATAATCATTAAATTTTCTAAGCCACAAGGAAAATGGCATATCTCCTTCACCGGTAAACGCAGAAATTCGAAGGGTTCCATCTTGGAAGCTTGAAGACAGCGTATTAACA